TGAGTTGACTCAGACTTTCATGTCCAAGTCTCTTGTGCCAAAGGAGGGGATCATTGTCCAACACACTTAAGCAAGTGAGTTCATTTTCTGAATGTGTGGAAAGATCTATAATGTATATATTGTTTACTCTTTTTCCCTGCAAAACAATCTTGTCAGTGGTTAGATTAATCACCAAACATTTGGTAGAGGTGAAAGCTACCAAGTTACCTCTATCACACAATTGTGATACACTAATTAGACTGTATTTTAGGCTATCTATCAAGTAGACATTCTCAATAGAGTGAGAATCTGTCTTACCTACCTTTCCAACCCCAATGATCTCACCTTTCTTCCCATTTCCAAAAGAGACATTTCCTCCTTTGAGGTCCTCAAGTGAAAGGAACCGCTCTTGCTTCCTGTCATGTGCTTTTAGCAGCCACTATCCATGTACCATATTTGGCAGCTCCCCTTCACTTGGACCTGCAAAAGGAAATAAGGGATTAGTCTTAGGAACCCAAACTAGTTTGGGTCCCTTTCTATAGGCAAAAGGGTGAATTAGATTCTTTTTGGCCCAACCTGGCAGCTTATTTTTCCCTTGAACAAATATTTTATTCTTTTGACTAGCCTTTTCTTTAGCAGTACATTCACTTTTATAGTGACCAGTTTTACCACAGTGTGTGCAATTTTGTTCTAAGGAAGTGTGAGGTACTTGCTTTTGGGATCCCACTTAGGTGCAGGGGTCCCGTAGCCAAGTCCTCTCTTATTGCTACTATGGTGTTCATGTAGCCATGAAAGTGCGTTGGAGGACCTGTTCCATTTACTGGTTCTGTCTAGATCGTGTTTTGGCCTTGATTAGACCCTCCTTTAGGACTCTTATCTTCTCATCTCTTTGTTACAACTCATCTTTCATTTTTCCTAGGTTTTCTTCTAAAGTGAGTTGTGTGTGGTCAGCTTTCTTTTTACTTATTCCTAATTTCAGTTTTAAATTTTCAGATCTAAGCTCTAGGACAATGGTGTCAAGTTCATGAACCTAGTTCGTCAACACAACATTTTTACTGTCACTTTCACTAGCCCTAAGTTCCAGATTTTTGCACTAATTAGCTTTCAAAATCACACACTCCTTAGACAACTGTTCCTTTTCATTGTCTATAAGTAACTCAGATAGCCTTTCTTTAGACAAAAATTTAATCTTGTCTTTGAGATGAATTACACTTACCTCAAATTCCTCATCAGTTTCTCCAATGGCCATAAGTGTTTGTTCATCTCCATCTTCATCATTTGAGCTTTCATGTGTGCTTTCTCCCCAAGCAGCAACCATAGCCTTTGTTGATCCTTTGTTCTTCCTGGGTTGAACCTGTTCCTTCTTTCTGTTTCTTCGTTCAGCTCTTTCCTTCTTCATTTTAATTTCCCATTGAGGGCAGTTCTTGATGTGGTGACTAGTCTTCCCACACTTATACACCCCTCATTGGTTTTCTTTTAAGAACCCTTGGTTTGCTATAGATTCCATTTCTTGGAGGACCCTTTCCTCTCATTAGGTACTTCTTGAAGTCCTTTGTTATCATGGCCATTTCATCATCTTCTAGTTCAGAACCTTCAGTGATTCTGAGTGCCAGACTCCTTTCCTTCTTGGGTACATCCATCTTCATGGTTTTCCTTCTAAGTTCATAAGCAGTGAGATTTCCAATTAGCTCATCCAACTTCAGAGTGGCAATCTTCTTTGATTCCTGAATGGCAGTGATTTTGCTCTCCCAAGTGACTGGTAGAACCCTTGTCAATATCTTTTCAACTCTATCTTCTTCAGGGATAATCCTTCCAAGAGACTTAAGTTCATTTGTCAGTATGGTGAACCTTGTATACATCTCCTAGATGGTTTCCCCTTCCTTCATGGTGAAATTCTCATATTGGCAATACAATAGTGTTCCTATGGACCTCTTCACTTGAGGTGTTCCTTCATGAGCCACTTGCAAAGTGTCCCAGATTCCTTAGCAATGGTACAACTTTGAAATCTACTGTACTCGTCCGAACCAAGTCCACACACAAGCCATTTCTTTGCCTTAGCATTCTTCTCCTATTTCCTCAAGTCCTCAACAGTGCAGTCATCTCTCGTTTTTGGCACATCTACTCCTTCAGCATTCTTCTTCATGGTAGCTAGGGGACCATCAGTGACAATGTCCCATAGCTCATAGTCTTCTCCGATGATGTGATCTCTCATCCTATTTTTCACCAAGAGTAGTACTGGCCATTAAAGAGTGGTTGCCTAGCAGTGGATTGCCCTTCCCAATTTCCAGGTGGTGCGCTCATCTTGATCTGTTCCTAAGGTGTTAGCTTCTTCAAGGATAACCTGCTGTGATACCAATTGATGTTTTAACTTGAATACCACACAATAGGGGGTGGGGGGTGATTTGTGTGGTGTCTAACTTTTGCTTAAACTGATTATGGATGGACCTGGTTCTTCTAAGTGTTCCTTAACCTACTATTGCTGAAATAGTAAATGTGGAATGTAAAGAACACAAGTATTTTATGTGAAAACACCTGGCTCAAAAGGTCAAAAAACTACGACCTACTTCCTAGTAGGATTTTTCCAAACTCTCCACTAAATCACTGAGCCAAAAACTACATTTACAAAAACACTTTTGTAACTAGGACTAACTCTAATCCCTTGTAGCAAACAACCTTTAACTGTTGCGACAACTACAAGTTAACTCTAACTTGAATACTCTGAGTACCTATTACAATTGCCTCTAGATAAATATGAAAGGTACAATATGAAAACACCTGCTATAATTGAACTAGAATAAAAGACAAACACTTGGAACTGGTTCTTCTATCTGGTTCATGTAGCATCAGGTTTGCAAACTTGAATCACACACGAATTGCTTACAAAAATGCCTTACTATTTTGCTCGCAATTCCTGTTTAACTTCTGCGTTTGTGCATTACCTGTAAAGTGAGAACATCCTGCAATTTATAGAGTTAGTAGATGAAGAAATATCTAGAGTTCTAATGCTACTCTTCCTTGGTGGAAGAGTTCTAGTTGATCTCAACTTCTAACTCCTTCCCTATCTTGGATAGTATTCTCTTTGAGTAAGGAGTCCTTCTCCTTATCAATTATGCAACCTTTTCGATCAGGAGATATCAAAAATACCAAGTTAAGCTTATCTCCTTCACGTGCATCCCACATGCTCGAATCTGCCCGTTTCTATGCACACAAGGGATGGTCCTGGTTCATGCCTGAGCTTCCTTTGTCAATCTTCAAAACTAACCTTCACTTGGGCCAACACAAATATATCATGATATTTTAATATCATATGTTTCAAATTTTATATTTTTCCTCTTAACTGCCATTCCAATATATGAAATGAATTGGAGGGAGTAACATAAATTTATATGTGTAAAATGAAGAAAGCTGAATAGGATAAATTATTTATGTTTTACTATGACTTAGTAGCATATCCGTAGTTCAAAACTCAATGGATTATCTCTGTCAAAATGTAATATGACTAGCATCACTCTTATATTTTATTACTTGGGATGTTGTATGGGTACGATTCTGCATTATATCCGCGGCAATAAAATTAACTTTATCATGGAATAAAAAGAAACGGGCTTGTAGAAATATTTAAAATGCAACTTTATGTATGATTTCTATCGAGCCAAGTACATAAGTAGTTGAATGAAAAATATATCATGGTATGATCAGTTTATTGAGCTAGGCTACCACTGAAAAGATAAAGTGCTTTTAATCATGCTCTAATAGTATATATGCAGGAAACAAATAAATGTGGATAGAAGCTGACACAATTAATTAGTTTCAATTGTGAATGGGCGATTTACGGTGTGGTGGATCGTAATCCATCTCTATAATGTCTCCATATAAATTCTTATTTCCAGTCTGGGAAGCCACTGCCATATCATTGGTTGCTGACCATCTTTCACCCTACAAAAAGCATTACAGTTTAGCAAGAAGTCATATCAACTCAATAGTTTTCAAATTTTAATATCATCTAAAGCCAACATGATATACACTTGAAGTGAATTTCCCTTTTAAACTTTTTTTTAGGTGGGTATGCATCCATTACTGCAACCAGGTAAACGTTTAAAAATATCGTTTATTTTAAAACGAGAAAAAAACTAAAAGCCGGAAGCTGTTAAATATAATTGTAATTCAAAATCAGTAAAAGCTGAACATAAANATAATTCCTCCCAGGATAGAACGAAAAACTATTTTGTAGCGGTACTTTAAATTAGAAAACTTTGATGAATTCAAATGAGAGAATAAATCACACAATGCAGACTCTATTTGATTTTATTAATATACAAACACTTCTGTAATTTTTCGTTATATAAAATGATAAACAATGCCTCTGTATTTATAGGTGTGTAATTCAAAAAGTGTCTTTTCTATTTCGCATTCGCTCCTTTTTAAAAGAATCCAACAGGAGCAACTGAGTAAACTAGGAAGTAAACTTTTGGAAGCATTGGAAAACCAAAGAGAGGATCAAAAGTTTAGTAAATACATGATGCCCTTATTTAAGATCGTATAAACAAGGGATTAAGTTGTATACACCAACGGTGTAAAATCTTCTTATATTATTAGTGTATATTATAAATATCTCTTATAGTACATAAGTTACCAAATTTTTCAGATTATCTTTTTTTTTTGGGGTAAAATAAATAAAGATGTTAAATTTATGTAAGTAGATTTTTCATATTATCAATCAAGACTAATCATAATAACTTACGTATAAATGTATTTTAAGTGAATGATTTTGCAAATATTTTTTTACACTATCCGTTCATATAAGTTAAAATCTATAAACAATATACGGAGCTTGCCACATCATTGCATCACAGAAACGACGTAGGCGATTCTTTTGCTAAGTACGATCAAGGATTCCATGCACCACACATCTTGTGGAACTGTGAGGATCTTAGCAGTGACAGAAGGGACTGAACAAACTTGACCAAATGTCATGTCCATCTTGATGGAGTATTTTAGACTAAAAATGATCGACATCTATGCACGAGGACACAGGAATCCTTTTTGTTTAAAGAAACCTTACAATATAGTATTGCTTCCTCTGTTACAATTCCGAGATAACTAATCTCGAGATTAGTTATGCCGCAATTTTGTCCCAACCAAATATGGATAAACTCATCTCAAATTTAATCCCGAGATTAATTATCCATTATTCCTTGTACCAAACGAGCCCTTAGGACTCGTTTGGTACGAGAAAGAAGAGATAATTAATCTCGGGATTAAATTTAAGATGACTTTATCCCATAATTGGCTGGGATAAAATAGCGGTATAAATAGTCCCGTGATTAGTTATCTCCGGATAATAGTGTTCTTTTATCCCTATGGAATTAAAGATGGGATAACTAATCTCCGGATAATTATCCCTGGGATATCACGTTTCCGACCAAACGACCCCTTAGTATCTAACTTCAACGTGCCCAATATGGCATTTTCAAAGGGAAAAAAAAAACGATGGCTGACTTGTCGTTCCCAGTTGAAACATGAGGTAAAAGACGACTCCATCTGCCGTACAGAAGTTAGGAGTCAAGAATAGTCTGTCAACCTCAATATGGAATAATATACTTATAAACACTTTCTGCAATTATTACCTTAGTTTTTAGTGCCTTGAGCAAACGTGCGTGGGGCAAAGATGATGGAGAAATCATTTCAGTACCTGCATGTCTAATCCCATCAATTACTTGCAAATCATACTAAGGGAACAGTAGAAAGGAAAGCAAGCCGAAATGATTCTACATTTGTACCACTTGCAGTTGTGACAAGGTTTAATCAAAATAAACAGAGAAAAAACAGAAAAGGAATTAATTTCAATTTTGATTGGGGATGTTAAAATGTTATGGCCTCAATAAACAAAATATACGTTCAAAACTTCATAAAACTTTCATGTATTACTGCATTCTCCAGGATAAGGAAACCATTCAAATTTAGAAATATAATAGAAGTAGCATTGATTCGAGAACGAGTAAGCTTTAGCATATGTGTGCAATGAACAACATCTACCTATAATTTTCTTGAAAAACATAAATTTCTCGATGTTTTAACTGCCAAAACAAAAAGATAACCCATTAAACACGATGGAAATGAAGGGAGTAATGTGAAAGAACACCTGAAATTGTGCCTTTATTGTCATTCTTTTCCTTGTGAAAAGCTTCTATTTTTTTGACCTTTTGAAGGTCCGCAATTCCTCTAGGAGCGTTTTCTACACGGGACGAATCAGTGCCCAAATAAATCTCTTGTGCAGCCTGCATGCGTATAAATTTCCAAGTCAATAATAAAAAGACAACCAGGTGCACAAAGTATTCCGTATTCATGCAAGGTTCGAGGAAGGGCCGCAACCCAAGGCGTGTGATATAGACGGCCTACTCAAAGGGAAACATTAGTGGCTGCTTCCACAGCTCAAACCCGTGACCTATAGATCACACATAGACAATTTTACGTTGCTCCAAAGTTCTCCTTCTTTCCATGTTAATAATGTTCCATCAAAAGAAAATTACAACATATATAGTTTCAAATCATGAGCTGAATTATACCTTGTTATTAGCTGGAAGACGTAAATAATGTGGCATGAGCTGTGACTTGCGAGCAATACAAGGATGGTTGGGAAAGTAAAAGATGATGACGAAGAATAAGAAGAAGGAAAGATAAGATGTACATGAAAATAAAAGTGGCATCGTAGTTGATATTATTCTCTTCAAAGGGTGTCGATAATGAGGAGATATGTATAATGTTTTAGCAAAATTTATAATGGAGGAGAATGCACAAGAGTTAGATACTACGAGGTAGTGGCGGATTCAGAATATAAATTTAATGAGTTCAATATTTAAGGTTATTAACATTAAATCCGTATATTTTTTAAGTTATGGGATTTATATTTACTATTTTTTATAATTTTAATAAATTTTATATATAAATTTATATTTTATCTTAATAGTTATGAGTTCAGTTAAAGTTGTAATTATAATACTACACTGCTAAACTGTGCAAAAGAACGTGGAAATTTCAATGTTTGATGAGACGTATGAACAAGTTATAAAAGAGTTAAGGTTGGCCTACCTTTATGTCTCCCCACCACCTTCGTTAGCTCTCCCAAATTACGTCCCATTTATTCTTCCACAATTTATAAGAGCTAGCATAAAAGCTGTCCAGGGCAAAGAAATTGTCGCTATCATCGAATCTAACATTAAACTGTCACGTCAACAGTAGAAACAAACAGTCATACCAGTTGATCTTTAATTTAATAACCACATAGACATTTTTCTGTATTTTTTAACACCTTTTTTTATAATGCTTTCAGGGGTAAACTGGTCCAAGGTCAGAGATATAATGACTTGTACGTAGGGACGGCAGTGAGCGTGTCGGGACGGGTGCGCGGCGGGTTGAGACTTAGACCCCTTTCAGATTGGCTTTAAAAAAATAGTTTTTCAATAGAAATAGTTTTTAAGCTAAAAAATAATAAGTTGGGATTGTCCGACTTATTGTTTTTGGCTTGTTTTAAGCAGTCTTTAACTTACTTTAAGCATTTTTTTTGACTTTGCCAAACACGAAAAAAATTAAAAAGAGCTTAAAAGCTGATTTGGCCTGTTTAAAATCCAATCCAAACACCCTCTTAACCCACATAAATTTAAACCCGCCTCGTTCTGCCCCATAAAAAATAAATCATTTTGTTACTTTTGCTAAAACACACAAGTTTAATCACTACTAGAAAACTGGTAGAATTCGTCAACAGAATACCGATCGAAATCGGTCGGAAAGAAAAACGACTGAAATCGGTCACAAATTAAGTAAATTGGTCGCAAAAGTCAAAAAAAATATTTCTGGCAACGGTAGTGTTCCCACAGCAAATATATAAAATTCCGACAGATTTCGGTTGGAACTTGGTCAATATTTGACCAAGACCTGGTCATACTTGTATATACTACTAAAAAATCTAGTTTTAGCGACGGACAAATTCTGTAGCTAAATAGAGAAATCCGTCGCTAATCTCATTTGGCGACGGATTAGCGACGGGATTATCAAAAAATTCTGCTAGCTACGGGTGATTTAGCGACAGATTAGCGACGACGTTCGTAGCTAATTCCAGCTAAATAATTTTTTATTAAAATTTTTCAAAAATTCCGACAGATTTCGATTGGAATATTATGCTTTCCCGCCCAAAGCAATTGGTTTTTAATATAACAAAAATTATATATATATATATATATATATATATATATATATATATATATATATATATACATATATATAATTTACCAACCAAAATAAGTTATAATTAAATATTTCCGACCGAATTCGGTCGGAAACACAATTTTAAAATAATTAAAATATAAATTTAATAATATTACCGATCGAAGTCGGTCGGTTTTTGTCAACCTTTAT